GGGGACACCCTGGACAGGTCGCCAGTCCATCGCAGGGCTAACACGCAGACCAACAACCACTCACACACACACAATCACTCCTACGGGCAATTTAGAGACGTCAATCAACCTATGCTGCATGTCTTTGGACAGTGGGAGGAAGCCAGAGAACCCATGCAAACTCTGTACAGAAAGGCCCCGGGTTGGCTGGGGCTCGACCGTGGCGCCAGCGTGCAGCCCAACACTTAGCTACAGTGTTGAAATTTCATGCATGCTAGCTAGTTAATGTAATGTGACTACACTTGCCTGACAGGTTGCAACACAGTTTCAGAGCAGCAGTAGTGGAAGCAGCGCCTCATCTTTTCCATGTTTCATTACCAGGATCCACCTGATGGCAGGGAGGCTTCCTGTGGGCTCACACAGAGTGGTGGTTGCCAAGGAGATGGAGGCTGTCTTTGTGCAGAACCTAAGCTATGCTGCTGATCTCCTCTCAAAGGTAGCTGACCTCGTGTGTCCAGCATACCCAGAACATCAGCACTATGACTGGAGTAACCTGGATTTCTGCTGCAGGATATTGTAAAGAAAAAATAGGATACATCTAATAAGAAAACAAATAGAAGATATGAAAATATGATTCAATTGAGTTCCTGTATAGGTTATAATATACAACTACCGTAATTTCCGGACTATAAGCCACACCCACTAAATGTAAGATGAAAAACATTTTGTACATAGCTGCAGGTGTCCACTTTGTAACATGAGATATTTCAACAGCCAGATCGATCGCCTGTAACTTGAAAGCTGCATCATATGCATTTCGTTGTGTGTTGCCCATGATGAGGGTGTGGGCATGAAGCGACAAAAGTAGCGGCTTATAGTCCAGAAAGTACGGTAGACAAATGCGTTCCCAGAAGAAAATACGTGTGGATGCTGTGTGTGTCTTACTGTGTGACCGTTTGTGTGGTACCATGTTCATTTTAATGTTTCTGTTTTAAGCAATTAAAATGTGTGCCTCACCCCTTTTCCCTTGCCAAGCTGCATTAACCAATAGCAGAAACCAGTAAAAATTCTAAATGTGTCCCTATACAGCAGGTGGATACACTATATTTCCCTTGTTTCTACAGAGCCCAGTTACAGAGGTAAGGGCATTGGGAAGGAGGTGACACACATGATGATGTGCTACAGTGATCACCTGATCCCATCTTTCAGAAGGTTTTGAGCAGGAAGACAGAAGCTTAAAGTCACCAGGTAGAAGTTGAAAATTTCCACACCTCTTGAATTACTGCCCATTTTTTGCAGTTCAGTCTTGTGCCATGTTCATCATTAGTTGGAGAATCAACCTGTGGTGGAGCAGGAAACAATAAATGCAAAATCTCCATCATGAGAATGCAGACAGCAGTTGATGAGATACTGAGGTTTAGTGTGAGTCACCTGAATCTGATTAGACAGTGACAGTCCAATCACAGAGTCAAAGTCAAATTGTCCAATCAGGTGGTAGCTGGGTTCTTCAAGTTAGTCTCCGGTGGCAGTTCTGGAAATTTGGTTGTAGATTCAAGATGGATGACAGCCGTAGTTGACGCTGACAGGTGGCTGTAACGAGCTCATCGGTGTGATTCACTTCACCTGTCAGTGGTCATAATGTTATGTGTCAATGGTCAGAATTCCTACTGGTAATGTGAGTTGTACTGCAATTTGCTGCATTCTATCTGTATTATTTTCCTACCAACATACAGTACATACTTTTTTGCGTAATGGAATCTATTTGGAAATAATTTGAATGTGTTAGGTTAATGTGCAGTTTTTGTGAAATCAGCCCCCTCATTAAAATGCACATTTATGCAAATACCTATCAGACCATCTACTGTATAAGTCTAGAGTTTCTGCTTTGAATTGTTCCAGACTTACTGTGTTAAAGAGCACATTCTATTGCAGAGCCACAGACAGCAGCATGAACATAATGTCCCATCTAGGCTACCGTAGTAACAGGACATATAAAAAGTTATTATGAAATAAAAACAGACTTAAAAATAGCACTTTGAAATAATAATTGTCCATAATCACAATAAAAATAACCCCTAAAAACTCTATTAAGAATGATGAAATACCATTTCAAAATAATGACTTCAGTTTTAATATTTCTCGAATGATTTCACAGATTGTCTGCGCAAGTATATTTTACACAATTTATTCTTATGATTATTAATTTCAGTGTTGTTTTTATTTATTATCATTATTGAACACTCTGGGTTTCCATAAAAGGCTTTAAAGTTGTAAACCAACACCAGGTGTTTAGGTACTTGCATATTGATACAAACCATTGCTATGAGCTGCCCATAATGGCTATAAGTTAGCAGCTACAGTAGTTTTCCTTTCAGCAAACAGCAAATGTACCACTGAACATTTTCATAGTATAAAATCTTTCTCCAGACAAACAATGTGTCACACTTTGGTTAAATTTGAGTTCACTTTCATTATGTTCCAGTCCCTTTGCCGTGCAGTACAGTCAGTGAACCTCTCTCTCCGCCCGCTCTTTCTCTGGATATACTGTAGTCCCTAGGGGGTTGCAGTATATTCTGAGTGTTATGCTTGAAAAGAAAGAAGCATAACTCAGTCTTGGCACTGTTGATCTTTTAGAAATGTGCAGCAACAACAAATAAAACAGACACTGGATTAGAACTGTTTACATCAGGAAAGGCTGAAGGTGGAGGAAAGCTGTTGGTAAGAGCTGACGGTTATTGCAGTCCCACAGACAAGCGCACAGAACTTGAACCCCAACCTGCTGTACCAAAGTCAGTGGTGTTAACCACTGAGCTCTGTCACCCGTTCAATAGGCACACATTCAGAACTTTTACTGGTCTCTACTATTGGTTAACACAGAAAATGGGGTGAGCAAGGAAAAGCTTGGTTAGATGTAAGGGCCCTGCTAAGGGCCCACGCTGGATATTGCCCGAACCCCGACAGGGAATCGATCCGACCTGCTGTACCAAATACAGTGGTGTTAATCACCAAGCTATCCAGCTGCTGGATAGGCACACATTTAGAATATTTTCTGGTTTCAGTTTCTCACATCATTGTCACATGAGGCTGAGATCGCACAGGGACCTATTTCACACTCATAAAATGATTTGTCATCAGTGGTGGGGCCATACAGTTTCTGTATTAATCTGACTTCCATTATAAAAAAAGTCTTGAAAAAAGCTGAATATTTTAAAAAGTATGAAAGTTACAAAACAGCTGAATACACGCCATCATGTCCTTTAAGAAGCTGGACATTTTGATATTTGGTTTTTCTAGCTGAAAGTATACTGGAGTTATTCAGCAGCAAAATACGTACGGAAGAAACGAGAATAATAAAGAACAGGATAACAATAGTGTGGATGCTGAGTCAGCATCAAAAAGGTGGCATCCGTCTTAGGGAAACTCTTGCATTCATCAAAGTCCAAAAGTGTGCTTTTGAATGAGTGATTACTACCAGCTGCTGACCTCCATAGTTAAACCACTAAGGAAAATGAGAATAACATGTACGGTACTGGGCCAGCTAGATATGTTTCTTCTTCAGGCTCTTTTCTTGAGCACATTCAGCTTGAGATAAAATACTGGATATTACAATAAAGTACCAAGTCTCAGCTTTAACATGCCTCGTAATCGATAGAGTAACATCACAACGCCCTGAACAAAGAGCTCCTTATTTCACGGTGGTTGTCTCACTCACTGTAATCAGAATGTTGAAATCTCCCTGGTCCTCACAGGAAGGACTCACTGGTCTGATTGAACCAATCAACACACGGATTACAGATCCCAGGTATTTCCTGGACTCTCCTCATCACGGTAAGACGCTGTGTGCCACTGACATGGCACGGACACTAACCAGCATGTACTCTCAGTACTGTTCAAGGCTACTGATGAGGAGTAACACCATACAGGGTTTTCTGTAAAAGGGCATGTTTAATCTTTGCACTTGCCAGCAGTGCTGTACTGGATGTGTGTATGCGGATCAGTTTAAATGAAAATGTCCAATGAGATGCCATCATGTATTGTATTTCTGATGTGACCAGAAAATCTGGCCAGTAATAAGTCATTTTGCCACCAGTAACAGATTTTGTAAGCGGCCCATAAAGGTAAGTGCACGGCCCACTCTTTAAATGGCACGGACATGGAAGCAGGTTGAGACAGTGAGGTGTGTCATGTTGCAGCAGTGGGTAAATTAGATTCTGTACAGTGTGCTGTCATGTAATCCTTTCAATTTGCATTTAGTGTTTTAATCTAATTTGCATTCTGTTATTTTATCTGTTTGCTTGCATAGTGTTAAGCACTCTGAATTGCCTTTCTGGATGAAAACAGGCTGTATAAATAAACCTGCCTTGCCGTAGCTGAGCTTCATTTTTGTGTCTGCAGCGGCTGCAATACTGGAGAAGGTTGGAAAGCCAAACATCAAGCTCCAAATGGTGGGTGCTTTAGAAATAACTTGGGGAAAAAAAAACACATGTTGAAGCTCTAAAATTATTTATAAAAAACAAGTTCTTTTGACTTGACAAATATCTGAACTGTTTCAGGACGTCTTTCACTGGCAAATAATGGATGGAAACCTGACACAAAACATACAGAAGTATTTCCCCATAATTGGTGAGTAAAATTAAAGAGTGAAACGGTCATACATATGAACACAGAATGGCACATACTGTCTGTCTCTAGAGGCGTCCACCAAGGCTGCCCTCTGCTTCATCGATCCTCCATATTTTGAATGTCACAAAAGAATTTTTCTACAAAATCCTGCCTGATTCCACCGAAGCTTTTGGAGCGTCAGTCACACCACCCCATATTCTCCTAATTAAGACCTTTCAAATCTTGGCACTGGTATTCGTCCTTCATTACAGCCAGTGGTGTCAAATCATTTTACTAATGTTAATAAAGATACTGAGTTGGACTTCGATGGAGGAATCTTCCGATACCCCTTCAGTCTCGTGTCCATTCCACTGTGCTTCTACTCCCACCACCTCATTGCTGTTGGAGCATTTTAAATAGAATTGTCAGAATATTACAGAAGGCCAGTCATCCAGTGGGGGAGGTGGGTGAGGGTGGTTCATATGTGTTACGTCCACTGTCTGTCTGGCTCAGTCCTGGAGAACTGTGAAGCAGAACCTGACTCCCCGTCATTACAAAAGAAAGAAGATTAGGTCCCGTTGAATTTTGATAAGAAACGCAACGATGTAAGCCTATAGCTGGTGGCACAGCTTCTCTCAGTGGAGCACTAAAGGTTTCCGTGTGTGGTCAGATACAGCAGCACTGAGTACTTTCCTGGTCAAAGTCACGAAATGTTAAGTAGCTAAAATTCCTGTTCATTTTATAACAGTTTTATTTGTAGTGAAAGCCCAAGAGGAATGAAGCCAGCTGTAAAACAGAAGTGGTTTTGTAATTAAACTATACTGAACATCAGTACAACACGGTGCAGTGTGTTTAGGATCACTGTCGTGTTGGAAAACTGAAAAAAGGTCCACGCCATCTGTTCCAGTCATATTTATTTTGGTTTCATCTGACCAAATATTCATCAGGCTTCTTTTCATGTTCTTTAGCAGTGTTTAATCTTGCAGTTGTGTATCACCTGGTGGGCAGTGGCTTTCTTCTTGGATGCTGTTTGTAGGGTTTGACTTCACGCATTGTCCTTCATGCTGGCACTGGAACACCAGTGTCCACAGATCATCCTTGTCAAAAACACTTGCCAGTCTATTTTTCAGTGCAGGGTTGTGTACCTAGCGAATTGTGTGTGTCATCATTTTTCGAGGACTGCTAGTAATATGGCTCCTGGTGTACCTCCTAACTACCGCTGCTGCTACATCGTGCTTCAGCTTATGTTCAGTAGCCTGCTGAAGCTCTTGTGCCTTCTTGCATCTTTGTGAAGTCTGTCTGGTTTCCTGCTGGTTCAGGCAGTTTCTGTCCATATCCTTGCATTAGACACAAACCAGGTCTCAGAGATTCTTTTATCTTGTCCATGCAAAGTTTTTTCATAGCACAAAATTTGAATTGCAAAAATCATTATAATCCCAACAATATTAAAGCCTCTGGTTTCACACAAACATGTTTTACTTCAGACTAGGTATGAACAAACCCTTAGTAACAGATTGTGGTTCTTCAGCTACTAAGGATAAACTTGTCTAACTGTAACGATGTAACTAGAGCACAGAGTCAAGCCTCTGGAGATAACAAAGAAGAAAATCCACAGCGGGCAGCAGTGTAATCGGCAGTGGTGCTGTGTTTCTCAGGTCATGTTCAGATTGCTCAGGTTCCAGGCCGGAATGAGCCAGACAGTGACGGAGAGCTCAACTATAGCTACCTGTTTAGCACTCTGGAAAACCTCGGCTACCAGGGATATGTCGGCTGCGAGTACAAACCACTAGGTGAGGGTTGTTCTTATTTTATTCAGTATGGAACCCATTTAGAAAAATGTGTTAATAATAGTCTTTTCTTTACTTTAGGCTCCACAAATGAGGGTCTGGGTTGGATCAAAAATTACTGGATACACAGCAAGTGATCACATTATACTTGCGAACATCTACCAGGAACAACACGCTTTCTTTGTCCCTGGGCTTTGAACAGATTCCAGTGGGCTTTTCCCCATTTTTCTTATATACACAGATGTACAATACCGTTCTTCTTTATGTTGGGCTTGTTGTCATATATACAGTATGTTTACATTATGGAGACTTAGCCCTCATCCTGGTTATGTTGGTAATTGTTCGACACTTTATCAGAGCTCCAAAAGACAAAACTACACACAGTATCCTCCAAGTGTCGACTCCTTTCTTCAGGCAGACCAGTTGCAGCAGTGGAGTTCTTAGGAGCAGTTCATATTGGACATTTTAGTATTTAAATGTCAAACTCCCATCTAGAAGTAAATGTCACAATCAATCGACAGGTGGATCTGTTGGTCTTTAACTGTGCTAATAAGAGATGACTTTTATTCTTTATTTTTGTTCTCACAGTATCCCCAGCTAACTTCACATCAGTCCAAGTCTGATTTAATATGATTGTATACCATCTGTTTTTATGTGTAGCTAGTTTTGAGTGTGCTTCACTACAGAGAAAAGCGCTATACAAGTGTAAGACCATTTACCATTACATCATTAGAACCCATGAAGAGAAGAGTTTATCTTTTGATCGATTTCAAGTTTGGGATTGAACTTAAAGTCTCAGCTGTTACTTAGCTAAGTGAATAAGCAAACTGTAAACCAGCGTTTAAGAATTGAAACATTCAGACGTGTCATGCGCTGGTCCCAGTAGGGTTGCATTAGAAAGGGCATCCGGCGTAAAAATGTGCCAAGTTTCAATCTATGTGAATCGACAGTGTGAGAATAGATGATTCGCTGTGGCGAGACCAGCCGAGCGTAGAGGAGGGGGAGTCATTTATTGTAGCCATTTCCCTCTAGGACTTTAAACCACCCCAGGTTGCCACATGTTAAGGTTAAAAAAAGACTAATCACATTAGTCCCACTAGTTTATTTAGCATTTCACATACTGTATAAAGTGCTCTGTATGTACATAATATACAGCTTGAGACAGTGCAGTTTACATTACAGTGTCAAAATGCTAAGCGCTAACATGGTACAGTTCACATTGTGCATGATGAATATCCAGTGTTTAATATTCGGATTGAATTCTCTGAGAATGCTGCCAGGCATGACAAACAAGCTCAAACATGGTTTTGGTTTCCTTCCAGTGGAAATGTACCGAAATATAAGGCTGCTGAATACATCAGTGATGATGGTAATGGATATCAGGCTTTCATGTTTGTTGTGGTGTAACAGTCTTATCAGGCTGGCGCTCCATGCCCTCTTGTAAATGGAGGTTACCAGCTACACTTTCAGAATACACAAATCAAATTCATCACCCTGAACATGCTTTGGAAACACTCGGCGCTGACGACATGTGTCATGCTATTATGCAAATCATCAAAGTTAATGTGACCCATTTTCTTGCTTATGAGAGGCAATTTTTGTCACATTTCTCCAAACTGACTTCGGCACTTTCAGTGCATAACATCAGGAGTGTGCTCTTCCAAACACCTTCTGTGCAGAACTGATGGAATGACAGCATCATCACTTCATTAAAGAGAGAGAGAAAGGCACTTCAGGCCACAAGATATGGCAGTGGGGTTTAAGTGGGGAGCAGGCTTGACACTGGTGGAAATCAAATTTAAAAGCCTTCCCACTCAGCACACTGACATTGCACCTGTCTCTCACACAGAAAACACTGATGTGGTATGAGGCGCTAGTAGAATGCAATCAGAAGGCACACAATTCAACAAACCCAGACCTGTGGGATATGAAACCTATGCGGTTCCACAGCCAGAAGTGCTGTTGGCTGCTTATGAATGACTGGCCATGCATTTCATTTAGACTGTCCAGACTGGTGAAATCCACACTGCTGATGAACATTACATTACATTACATTAGGATGTTTCTCAGTTACAGAAAAGAAAACACAAACACATTTCTTAATGTGGCTCTGTGCTAGCAAGGTAGAACTGAGTGAGTGGAGTAGCTGCTGGGGCAGATTACTGGCAATAAGACTGTTGCTTCCCGTTTCCATGCGTTGAGGGCAGCTCTATAACAGCCCTGTCCAGAGGTTGTAGCAGGCGGTATTGATGACGGACTCCAAGTGATGATACATGGACACCAGCTGGGGAGGAGGACTGCTGTTGGCCTGTGGCTGTGATGGCAGTGGCTCCCGAAACACAACCTTTAGACTCTGTAGGAGGAATAAAAAGAAAGAAACACTGCTTCCACATTTGCATAATTATAATGTAATAATAATATAAATCATATTGGTGTAATAACTCACTGTTTTTCCAGCTTGGGTATCTAGAAATACTAAAACAAAACAGTCGGTGAACTTCTGGTTCAGAACGGCCTGAAACGGGGAGACAGACATGGAAACAGATTAGATGACACTTTTTAATGTTAAATATTAAGATGACACTCTTCTGGTGACAGGTCAAATGTTAAAATACTGAAAGTTTGAACCGAACAGCAGCAAAGCGGGCATTGCTGCTGTTTGTGGAGGTGTGTGTAGGACTCTGTCGACATATCTTGTGAAAACATGTACAGCTCAATTCAGAAGTTTACATACATTTAGGTTGAAGTCATATATTTTAACCACTCCACAGATGTCAGGATAACAAACTCTCCTTTTGGTAGGTGAGGATGGTATCCTTTCAGTTAGAACATGTACTTTATGCATGACACAAGTCATTTTTTCAACAGTTGTTTACAGAAGTCTGGTTCATCCTTGGAGCATATTCCAAACACCTGAAGGCTCCACGTTCATCTGTACAAACAACACTACACAAGTATAAACACCATGGGACAATGCAGCCATCATAGTACTCAGGAAGGAGACACGTTCTGTCTCCTAGAGATGGACGTACTTTGGTCCCAAACAGTACAAATCAATCCCAGAACAACAGCAAAGGACCTTGTTGAGACACTGGAGGAAACAGGTACCAAAGTATCAATATCCACCATAAAACCAGTCCTATATCAACATAACCTGAAAGGCTGCTCAGCGAGGAAAAAGCCACTGCTTCAAGACGCCACAAAAAAGGCCGACTACAGTGTGCAGCTCCACATGGGGACAAAGATCTGACTTTTTGGAGAATTGTCCTCTGGTCTGATGAAACAAAAACTGAACTGTTTGGCCATAATCACTATTGTTATGTCTGGAGGACAACTGAGTATAAACACACAAAACTTGTACAGTACAAATGTACCAATTTCTTTTTCTCAGTTATATTTGATAAAGCTAAAGAGTGCAACAGTTCCTTAACAAATATCTAACAGCGAACCAGACTTGATTGTCAGTGTGATACACAACTCAGGAAGTTTCAAGGATGTGTTAATTGATTTGCAGATTATATGGAAATGAATGCAAAGCGATTGCTGCCTGAAGGACAAGAAAAAGTGCATTCAGATGTCTAATGCTCAACACAGTAATGATGTAAAGCAGAGCTGATCTGGCTGTCACAGACACAGACACTCCACATGAGTGGGACTTTTACTGTATACTGAAAGTTGGCTAGTTGTCAGGAACAAACTACACAATAGTTCATGGATTGATCAGTAAACACCTGTCCCTTTCAACCTGCATAAAAAAACTGACCAAAAAACTAATAAAAAAAAAAAATGAGCAGCAGCCTGGCAGTTAATAAAATGGCTAACAATCTAAAGACAGATGTGGAAGGTCAGGCTGTGGTTACACTGTGAACAAACTGTTCTGATCTACAACTTTAAAATAGTCCATCTGGAGTCCTTTGTCACAATGACACAGGAGCTCCTGCAGCTTTAAAATGACTTTGCCTTTAAAACAGCGATGGTTCCCATGTGTTACATTGTGCCAAGACCGAGAAATACTGAGGCTCAATAAAAACCAGAAAACACCAGTTACACACCACCTTTGTTGGTCTTTCAAATCCATACCTCACTTGCTCTCATACAATAAGACTAGGAATGCACCCATACCACGTTTTCCACACCAAGTACAGGGCATTTACATCGGGTACAGAAGCTTTAGAGACAACTTTGATTTCCATGAGATCTACCTTCTGATTGTGGTTAAATAAAATATAACTGGAGGCTAGGTGACCTACTTGAAAACTATTTGTGATAACCACCACAGCACTGCCACCGTGTAACTGACTGAAGGTCTATAGCCTACCACATGACACACTGTATTACAGTGGATTTTAGCCTTTGTAGGAGTGTGACCCTCTGTTAGGACAAAATAATTTCATAACCCCTGCTCAGAACGGCAAGTTTGGGAGCGCACAGTATCATAGTCGGCAATTTAAATGTTTAATTTAATGAGGGTACATGTTCTGACTTTAAACCAGCGACGGTCTGTGGCTGCATCCTGTCCTCTGTGCTGGACACACACCTGCTCTGCTGTAGACGAGCTGCTGGGCTCAGCCTTCAACACCACAAGAATTCAGCTCATTGTCATACACAGAGGTCATTAAGCTCTGCCATTAATTACACTAAATGAGTGTTTTTCCTTGTTTCAACAATCCACTGCAGTGAGTAAAACGAGCACTGTATGGGTTTAGTGGGCGAACGGGCCAGGCATTTTGACTGTGGGGAGAGTGAAGACGTATTTCTTTATTTGTTGTTGTGTTGAGCTTGTTCAACAAGTGTTTACTTACTTTCTCCACTACTGTTGGCCGTGTTGCACATATTGAGCATTGACATCTCTGTAAAATGTAACCTCATGGCTGTGTGAGACAGGGAGGGAGGGGAGCTTCTGGACTCACAGCAGAGCAGAGAATCAGAGTTCTCAGTTGCCTTTAGTTCTGTCACTTATCTTAAAGGATCCATGAGCCACTGAAATTTCTTCTCCACTATCTAACAAGTGGCTCAGCCATCGTGAGCTTAATGCAATGCTGTCATCCATGTGTAGTATCGGACAACTTTTACAAGAGGCTGGTATCGGACCCAGTACTGGTATCGGTACATCCCTCATAAGACAATGGAAATACAGAACATCCTCTCACCAGGTACTGAATGCCGTTGTCGTCGAAATGCCTGCAGCTCTGAGGGAAGCGGTTCCTCTCCTTTTGGTAGGTGAGGATGGTATCCTTTCAGTTAGAACATGTACTTTATGCATGACACAAGTCATTTTTTCAACAGTTGTTTACAGAAGTCTGGTTCATCCTTGGAGCATATTCCAAACACCTGAAGGCTCCACGTTCATCTGTACAAACAACACTACACAAGTATAAACACCATGGGACAATGCAGCCATCATAGTACTCAGGAAGGAGACACGTTCTGTCTCCTAGAGATGGACGTACTTTGGTCCCAAACAGTACAAATCAATCCCAGAACAACAGCAAAGGACCTTGTTGAGACACTGGAGGAAACAGGTACCAAAGTATCAATATCCACCATAAAACCAGTCCTATATCAACATAACCTGAAAGGCTGCTCAGCGAGGAAAAAGCCACTGCTTCAAGACGCCACAAAAAAGGCCGACTACAGTGTGCAGCTCCACATGGGGACAAAGATCTGACTTTTTGGAGAATTGTCCTCTGGTCTGATGAAACAAAAACTGAACTGTTTGGCCATAATCACTATTGTTATGTCTGGAGGACAACTGAGTATAAACACACAAAACTTGTACAGTACAAATGTACCAATTTCTTTTTCTCAGTTATATTTGATAAAGCTAAAGAGTGCAACAGTTCCTTAACAAATATCTAACAGCGAACCAGACTTGATTGTCAGTGTGATACACAACTCAGGAAGTTTCAAGGATGTGTTAATTGATTTGCAGATTATATGGAAATGAATGCAAAGCGATTGCTGCCTGAAGGACAAGAAAAAGTGCATTCAGATGTCTAATGCTCAACACAGTAATGATGTAAAGCAGAGCTGATCTGGCTGTCACAGACACAGACACTCCACATGAGTGGGACTTTTACTGTATACTGAAAGTTGGCTAGTTGTCAGGAACAAACTACACAATAGTTCATGGATTGATCAGTAAACACCTGTCCCTTTCAACCTGCATAAAAAAACTGACCAAAAAACTAATAAAAAAAAAAAATGAGCAGCAGCCTGGCAGTTAATAAAATGGCTAACAATCTAAAGACAGATGTGGAAGGTCAGGCTGTGGTTACACTGTGAACAAACTGTTCTGATCTACAACTTTAAAATAGTCCATCTGGAGTCCTTTGTCACAATGACACAGGAGCTCCTGCAGCTTTAAAATGACTTTGCCTTTAAAACAGCGATGGTTCCCATGTGTTACATTGTGCCAAGACCGAGAAATACTGAGGCTCAATAAAAACCAGAAAACACCAGTTACACACCACCTTTGTTGGTCTTTCAAATCCATACCTCACTTGCTCTCATACAATAAGACTAGGAATGCACCCATACCACGTTTTCCACACCAAGTACAGGGCATTTACATCGGGTACAGAAGCTTTAGAGACAACTTTGATTTCCATGAGATCTACCTTCTGATTGTGGTTAAATAAAATATAACTGGAGGCTAGGTGACCTACTTGAAAACTATTTGTGATAACCACCACAGCACTGCCACCGTGTAACTGACTGAAGGTCTATAGCCTACCACATGACACACTGTATTACAGTGGATTTTAGCCTTTGTAGGAGTGTGACCCTCTGTTAGGACAAAATAATTTCATAACCCCTGCTCAGAACGGCAAGTTTGGGAGCGCACAGTATCATAGTCGGCAATTTAAATGTTTAATTTAATGAGGGTACATGTTCTGACTTTAAACCAGCGACGGTCTGTGGCTGCATCCTGTCCTCTGTGCTGGACACACACCTGCTCTGCTGTAGACGAGCTGCTGGGCTCAGCCTTCAACACCACAAGAATTCAGCTCATTGTCATACACAGAGGTCATTAAGCTCTGCCATTAATTACACTAAATGAGTGTTTTTCCTTGTTTCAACAATCCACTGCAGTGAGTAAAACGAGCACTGTATGGGTTTAGTGGGCGAACGGGCCAGGCATTTTGACTGTGGGGAGAGTGAAGACGTATTTCTTTATTTGTTGTTGTGTTGAGCTTGTTCAACAAGTGTTTACTTACTTTCTCCACTACTGTTGGCCGTGTTGCACATATTGAGCATTGACATCTCTGTAAAATGTAACCTCATGGCTGTGTGAGACAGGGAGGGAGGGGAGCTTCTGGACTCACAGCAGAGCAGAGAATCAGAGTTCTCAGTTGCCTTTAGTTCTGTCACTTATCTTAAAGGATCCATGAGCCACTGAAATTTCTTCTCCACTATCTAACAAGTGGCTCAGCCATCGTGAGCTTAATGCAATGCTGTCATCCATGTGTAGTATCGGACAACTTTTACAAGAGGCTGGTATCGGACCCAGTACTGGTATCGGTACATCCCTCATAAGACAATGGAAATACAGAACATCCTCTCACCAGGTACTGAATGCCGTTGTCGTCGAA